AAACAGTGTTTACATTGCAAAATCCTTCCATCCCCCACCCCACGCCATGAACTTAGATCCGTCCCTGTTTTAGGTATTGGTGCACCAGGAATGGGGGGAGGGGTTAAACGACTCCCCAAAAACCCCAAGTCCCCAACGCAGCCTCTGACTAAGGCCAGGACAATGACCATTGACACAGGCACCTTCCATGCACAGCAGCAAAGAGGCTCAGAAAAGCAGCCTATACAATTGTAGCAAGAAGCGGATACCATGAATCGGACTGTGTCCTCCGACTACCCAATACTGTATTGAAAACTAAAGAAGCTTCAAATAATCGCCAACATTGAACGGTTTGACGGATTTCCTGGGTTCCAACGCCTAATGACTCCTCTGGAATTGGGGGATCCAGGGCTCCCCCTGACTCCATAATCCCTTAGGAGGCAGGAGGCGATCAAGGGCAGCACATGCCCCAGGCAGAAATCCATCGGGATGGTGGGTTGAATTCTGATGCTTTCAAAGGAGAAGCCCAGGAAAGTCTTGCAGCTGGGGGGATGGGTAAATACTATTATGGTTCTTTGGGTTGTATATTGTCTCCCTGCTTATTTAACTTATATGCAGAATTCATCATGCGAAAGGCTGGGCTGGATGAATCCCAAACCGGAATTAAGATTGCCGGAAGAAAAATCAGCAACCTCAGATATGCAGATGACACAATCTTGAGGGTAGAAAGTGAGGAGGAATTAAAGAACCTTTTAATGAAGGTGAAAGAGGAGAGTGCAAAATATGGTCTGAAGCTCAACATCAAAAAAACGAAGATCACGGCCACTGGTCCCATCACCTCCTGGCAAATAGAAGGGGAAGAAATAGAGGCAGTGAGAGATTTTACGTTCTTGGGCTTCATGATCACTGCAGATGGTCATGAAATTAAAAGACTCCTGCTTCTTGAGAGAAAAGCAATGACGAACGCAAACAGCATCTTAAAAAGCAGAGACATCACCTTGCCGACAAAGGTCAGTATAGTTAAAGCTATGGTTTCCCCAGTAGTGATGTATGGAAGTGAGAGCTGGACCATGAAGAAGGCTGATCGCTGAAGAATTGATGCTTTTGAATTCTGGTGCTGGAGGAGACTCTTGAGAGTCCCATGGACTGCAATAAGATCAAACCTATCAATTCTGAAGGAAATCAGCCCTGAGTGTTCACTGGAAGGACAGCTGGAGCAAACCGGCTGCTAAGTCTGATTTTTATTAAGGTAAAAAAGGTAAAGGACCCCTGGACTGTTAAGTCCAGTCAAAGGTAACTATGGGGTTGCCACGCTCATTTTACTTTCAGGCCCAGGAAGCTGCTGTTTGTCCACAGACAGCTTCCTGGGTCATGTCGCCAGCATGACTAAACCGCTTCTGGCACAACAGGACATCGTGACAGAAACCAGAGTGCACTGAAATGCCGTTTAGCTTCCCTCCGCAGCGGTACCGATTTATCTACTTGCACTGGCATGCTTTCAAACTGTTAGGTTGGTAGGAGCTGGGACAGAGCAATGGGAGCTCACCCCATCGTGGGGATTTGAACCGCTGGTCAGCAAGCCCAAGAGGCTCAGTGGTTTAGACTGTGATACATAGATAGCAGTCAAGTACAACATTCCTAGTTTTTCTAGAGTGGACATGAGAGGGAATGTTTGGTCCAGTCAGTCGAAAACATCCTGTTTCCTCCTGACTGGGACAAACTTCCTTTAGCATGTGACTAGAGGTGGCCGTGACCTTACCTGTTCAGGTAACAAAAGCACAGGGCAAGCAGCTGCAGTGACTGACAGTCTGCAGTCACTGGGATTAACCCCTCATATGAGGTAGATCCACGTGTATATACTTTGTAACTAAGTCTGCCTTCAGGGATCCATCTGTGAACTGAATGTGTGAGTAAACGTCTTTTATATACTTTACACAAGATTGTGCTGTGTCTATTCTTTTTAAGAGGGATATAAAGGAAATTACCAGGAATCATTTATTGAGAAGCTGAAACAAGCTTGCAACAAGCTAACCACTGTGTGTTTAAAAGGGGAATGCAAAACTCTGCTAAGTTATAGAACTTGCTAGCACAAGTTAGGAAGTATATTAAACAATATATCCTCTCCTGCCTCTCTGAACATTCCCAGAAAGGGTTATTGGCCTCAGCATTACATATTTTTGAAGGATTGCAAAGGATTGAGATCCTAAGCAGGAAAGTATTTTTCTGAGCATACTTCCTGGTAAGCACATGGTCCTTTGTTCCATAGTGTAGTGGGGATTAAGCACCTCCCCCAGTCCCTTAGAGTTCACAGTGACCTAAAGCAGTGAAGATTTGTTTTGTATTTTGAGATTTTTTGCTATTTTGATTTTGAGATTTTGACAGCTTTTGAAATTTTGAATATTTTTTAATTTTGAGATGGCCAGTATTGCTTTTGATAGTGATGCAAGGCAAGAAATGCCTATGCTGAATGAATAAAATTTTGTGCACTGGAAGCAACATTTAATAGCACTTCTAAATGCAAAAGGAGTCTCTGGAGGTCTAGGGACAAAGTGAGAGCTGTTTCCTAGTTCTGCTGGATCTCTCAGCAGCTTTTGATACCATCGACCATAACATCCTTCTGGGCCGTCTAGAGGGGCTGGGAGCTGGGGGCACTGTCATACAGTGGTTTTCCTCCTGGGCCGTGTTCAGAAAGTGGTGTTGGGGGATGAGTCTTCAGAGCCCTGGAACCTCACTTGTGGGGTGCCTCAGGGTTCTGTCCTCTCCCCCATGCTTTTCAACATCCACATGCAGCCGCTGGGAGAGATCATCAGGGGGTTTGGGCTGGGTATTCATCAATATGCGGATGATACCCAGCTCTACCTCTCTTTTAAATCAGAACCAGTGAGGGCAGTGAAGGTCCTGTGTGAGTGTCTGGAAGTGGTTGGAGGATGGATGGCGGCAAACAGATTGAGGTTGAATCCTGAACTGTTCTTGGGGGACAGGGGGCAGGATGGTGTGGAGGACTCCCTGGTCCTGAATGGGGTAACTGTGCCCCTGAAGGACCAGGTGCGCAGCCTGGGAGTCATTTTGGACTCACAGTTGGACTCACAGAGGCACAGGTCAATTCTGTGTCCAGGGCAGCTGTTTACCAGCTCCATCTGGTATGCAGGCTGAGACCCTCCCTTCCTGCAGACTGTCTCGCCAGAGTAGTGCATGCTCTAGTTATCTCCCGCTTGGGCTACTGCAATGTGCTCTACATGGCGCTACCTTTGAAGGTGACCCGGAAACTGCAATTAATCCAGAATGTGGCAGCTAGACTGGTGACTGGGAGTTTAAAAGGGGAATGCAAAACTCTGCTAAGTTATAGAACTTCCTAGCGCAAGTTAGATAGGATATTATTAAACAATATATCCTCTCCTGTCTCCCTGAAAATTCACACATACACCACAGTGCCACCCGCGTCCTCCCTGATCTTTTATTAATAGACCTTCTCAAGGCACTCACGCAGGAAGAAGGAGGGAACTCTGAACAAAAGACCATACTTTTATAAATGTCAGAAAAGGTTGTCCACTCCACCTTTTCCCGCCCTCGTAGATCTGTCATGGAGGACGTCAGAGAGGAGGTGCCCCAGCGTGAGGTTACAGCTAGGGATCCTTTGTGAAGTGGTGGGTGATAGTGACATGTTTGCTATTCATGTGTTTGCAAAGTACCTGCTGCCGATGTCTGGGCTGAACCCATTCTGTTAATGGCTGTCCCTTTTGTGATGTTGCAGGAATGGACACGGCAGAGGCAACAGCACTGGAAGTGATAATTAGAATGTTGTGCTAAGATGTTCCCAGCTTTGTGTCCGATTGGGCCGGATTGAGAAGGCGAATGAGCCATATCCGGCCCTCGGGCCTTAGGTTGCCTACCCCTGCTCTAGCAGGAGCGATTGTGGGGCTTCCTTGCCCGCTTCCATTCAGCTCTGCCATCCTCAAATGGCAAGTCTTCTTCAGCGATTGTGGGAGCGGACAGGCTGGAAGCTGAAGTGGCTTCCCTTGGAGTAGGCTTTGCTTTGCTTTCTGTTGAACTCAATCTGTGTTTTTAATGTTCTGGTGGGTACCTGCAGCTCCTCCTTCCCCCTCTTGCAATTAGGCTTGGGGAGAGATCTCCCATTAAATTACAGTATTTTAAGCTGTCTTCAGAAAGCGTAGGAGGCAGGGAGAAGTTCTGGTGAAGAAGCAGAGTTTGGAAATCACACGGTGGTGGGGGTGAGAGAGTTTGGTGCCTAAACCAGTCTGACACTCACACACACACACCCTTCTTGCATGCTTGAGTAGAGCAACTCCAGGGCATGAGCCAAGTATCAGCAGGGTAGGGGCCATGTGTAGAGCAACTCCCACACTGAGGTCAAAAACACACACAGAGGCAGCAGGACTTCTTCAGTAATAGTTTACTGAGCTTTCAAAGCATACAGTTCTCACTGGGTCTCCAGTGAGGCACAAAACTTTGTTTCTGAGAGCAAATCCAGTTTCAGCCGTAAAAAAATACAGCACACAGGATATCTAGGTCAGGAACACACACTGGCAGAAGGGAGCAAGGGAGGAAAGAGGCTGGAAGGACACAGGACAATGGATGTGTGTCTTTCGCTTCCTGTCATCTGGGAGGGAAGTCAGCAACTCGGCATCTGCAGGGGCTTCATGAAGAAAAAGTTTCTGCCTCCTGCTTCCAGGCACATCCCAGAAACTCACACTGTGATTCACGGTGTATTGCAATATCAATTGCTTTACAAAGCCCTGATCCGCACCACCAGCAATCTAGATTCCCCCGCTCTATCAAAATGTACTTTACATATAAAATTATAATCACTGTTGTGAGACATTACCTTCATTATTTCATGACTATACAGTTTTACATATAAGCACTCCATACATCTAACAGGGTTCTCCCCTTTAGATCTCCCTAGATGTTTCATAAACACTCCATTGTAACTAAAGCACTTTCTGTGATGTTTCCATCTAAACTGCTTCTCGCCTTTGAGTTTGTTGTTGGTTTGTAGGGCGTCAGCTCTTAAAGTTCTTCCTGACCGTGAAGAAGAAGAAGAGGAGTTTGGATTTGATATCCCGTTTTATCACTACCCGAAGGAGTCTCAAAGCGGCTAACATTCTCCTTTCCCTTCCTCCCCCACAACAAAGACTATGTGAGGTGAGTGGGGCTGAGAGACTTCAGAGAAGTATGACTGGCCCAAGGTCACCCAGCAGCTGCATGTGGAGGAGCGGAGACGCGAACCTGGTTCCCCAGATTACGAGACTACCGCTCTTAACCACTACACCACACTGGTTCTGTTGATGTAGGACTTCCAATAGGACTGAACATCAACCCTTAAAGTTCTTCTTGACATTTATGTGGTTTGTCTCTTGTGTGAGTTTGTTGATGTAAATCAAGGGTTTCACTCTGACTGAAGCCATACATTTAAGTGCTTTCCCTCCTCTGTGTCTGCAAATGTCTTCCTCTAAGATTTTCACTCTTACTGAAACTTTTCCGCACTCCATTCATTAAAATGATCTCTCCCCTGTATGCGTCCGTTGATGCATATTGAGGTGTCCACTCTGACTGAAGCTCTTTCCGCACTCCATACATTTATATGGTTTCTCCCCTGTGTGAGTCCGTTGATGTGTTCTAAGGTGCGCAGTTTGACTGAAGCTCTTTCCGCACTCCATGCATTTAAATGGTTTCTCCCCTCTGTGAGTTCGTTGATGTGTTCTAAGGTTTGCATTAAAATGGAAGCTCTTTCCGCATTCCATACATTGAAATGGTTTCTCTTCTGTGTGAGTCCGTTGGTGTGTTCTAAGGTTTGCATTGAAACTGAAGCTTTTCCCACACACTATACATTTAAATGGCTTCTCCCCAGTGTGAGTCTGTTGATGTATTCTAAGGTTTCCAAGCTGACTGAAGCTCTTTCCGCACACCATACATTCACATGGTTTCTCCCCTGTGTGAGTCCGTTGATGGGTTCTAAGGTTTCCAAACTGACTGAAGCTCTTTCCGCACTCCATACATTTAAATGGTTTCTCCCCTGTGTGAGTCCGTTGATGTGTTCTAAGGGTTGCATTGAAACTGAAGTTCTTTCCGCATTCCATGCATTTAAATGGTTTCTCCCCTGTGTGAGTCTGTTGATGTCTACTGAGGTCTCCACTCTGACTGAAACTCTTTCCACACTGAATACATTTAAATGGTTTCTCCCCTGTGTGTGTTCGTCGATGTAAATGGAGTCTTGAACTGTCACTGAAGCTCTTTCCGCACTCCATACATTTGAATGGTTTCTCCCCTGTGTGAATCCGTTGATGTGTTCTAAGGTGTGCACTCTGACTGAAACACTTTCCACAATCTATGCATTTAAATCGTTTTTTACTTATGTGAGTCTCTTCATGTGTTCTAAGGGTTCCACTAAATCTGAAATTCTTTCCACACTCCATACATTTATATGGTTTTTCACCTGTGTGAGTCCGTTGGTGTAATTTAAGGTTTCCAATCTGACTGAAGCTCTTTCCACACTCCCTGCATTTGAATGGTTTCTCTCCTGTGTGAGTCCGTTGATGTGTTCTAAGGTGCGCAATTTGACTGAAGCTCTTTCCACACTCCCTGCATTTAAATGGTTTCTCCCCTGTGTGAGTCCGTTGATGTGTTCTAAGGTTTGCAGTGAAATGAAAGCTTTTTCCACACTCCATACATTCATATGGTTTTTCATCCGTGTGAGTCTGTTGATGTATTTTAAGGTTTCCATTCTGACTGAAGCTCTTTCCACACTCCATGCATTTAAAAGGTTGTTCCCCTGTGTGTGTCTGTTCATGTTTTCTAAGGTTTCCATTCTGACTGAAGTTCTTTCCACACTCCATACATTTAAAAGGTTTCTCACCTGTATGTGTCCGTTGATGTAAAGTTAAGTGTCCCCTCTGACTGAAGTTCTTTCCACACTCTGTGCATTGAAATCGGTTCTTTCCCATCTGAGTCCGTTGATGTGTTCTAAGTTTTCCACTGTCAGTGAAACTTTTTCCACTCTCCATACCTTTAAATGGTTTCTCCCCTTCTTGAGATCGCTGATGTGAGCTATGTCTGCTCATTCAGTGAAGCATATTCCACATTTCACACATTTTAATGGCTATTCCTAATGAAACGAAAGGTTCCCCATCTTCTGGAATTCTGACTGTCTTCTGTATCACCTTCTTCAGAATGGGCGGAAAGGAAATCCTATTTTGGTTTCAAGGAAGAGAACAAAGGGAAAGAGAGCACATCAAACACTATTAGCAGTTTTTCTTATTTCAGCATCTCCTATATTCCCCTGCCTCCTACCCATGTTCCCAGTTTTTAGGAAATGAAGATGCAATGTCATCAAATGATAGTAATGCATCAGCAACCTTTCATAATCCTCAGTCATTGTTAATAGCGCAGCATGATCTTGGAATACAGCCTTTTCAAATCAATTGTTTCCACACAGGAAAGGCAGCTGCTCTCTGTCCATGAAGAGGCCCTCTCTTTCTCTGGTCCATCTTTCCTTTGGACATTCCCCATCCTCTGCATCATAATCCTCCATCCACCCCTGTTTCCACCTCTAGATCTTCATGAATCACCTGCACAGTCCCATTGGCCTCAGGAAGTCCATATGGACCATTTTGGGAGTCCCAGGCCTTCATCTCTTCCAGGGACTGTGGCCTGGGTCAGTCAGAGAACTAGTGACAAGGCTTGGTGCTTGGGGTCAGCTGAATGGGTGCTCAGGGAAGCTCCTGTTCTTGGAGATTGACCTCCATCTGCATGCCTCACATTAAATGGAGAGAGCAGGAGAAGCAGAAGGAAAGCAGCTGGCACATGGGAATCCCAGGCAGAAGCACCCACTCCAATGGTTCTTTATAATGATGATGTGCTGCCTGATCACGTGCCCCTCTGCTGACACAGAACTATCCTAATCTGGCACTGACAAAGCTGGATATTCAAGGCAAAGGGATAACTGTACTTAGTGGAAATTTCAGCCTTGAATATATGGTATTGATTCATTGATGCCCTGAAGTTGTGTTATCTCTGGAGACAAGAATTTATTCCTGATTTGTCTTAAGTATCATAATTATACAATGTCTTGGGGTGTTAGAGGAGCGGCGGTACCTTTGGTGGGGGAAATGTCATGCACCTTATGGGGTAACCTATCCACCACTGTGCCCCACCCTCCACTCAGCTCTCACCTGTCGCTTCCAGAAGCTGGTGGATGGAGAGGATGAGAACAACAGTGAATCCCACAGTCAAGAAGGCAGATTCTGCCCATCCTGCAGAGGAAAGGGAAGGGAGCCCATTGAGAAGGAAAACTCTGATCCTAAACTTTGCTGCCTCATGACTTATCTTCAGGAGAAGAGAATGCTATGGAGGAAAACCTACTCAAATCTTGAGTGGAGTCTCTAAGATGCTTGGATAGTGCCCTGCACACCTTCTTCATTCAACTCCTGCCGCCAAGCTGGTGCCAAACATACTGTTCTGCTTTCCTTGGGACCTTATCAGCCAGGCTGAGAAGAGGGTCTAGTTGTCTAGGCAGCCCAGGACCCCCAAACACACTACCCAGGCAGTGCTGCTAACACAGCAGTTTCAGGCGGAGAGATGAGCTCAGACCTGTGTATCAAAGTCTCTCCAATGTGGAACAAGGAAAACAGAAGTGCATCATATGTCACTGTAAGAGTATTTGAAAAGACAAAGTGGCCCCTTGAAAGCTAATAAAAGTATTGTGGCTGAAGCTTTTGTGGGCTGCAGGACCAGGAAAGCTCCTGCCACCATGATCCTTCCAATGGGGATTCAGGCCTCATCATGGGACTTGAACTGCCCTGGCCAATGGGATAGATATTGAGAGGAAAGCTGTTTCCTGGTTCTGCCGGATCTCTCAGTGGATTTGGAGACCTTTGACCATGGTATCCTTCTGGACCCTCTAGGGAAGCTGGGGGAATTACTGTGCAGTGGTTCCCCTCCTTCCTCCTGGGCCATGTCCAGAAAGTGGTGTTAGGTGATGAGTGCTCTGAGCCCTGGGTGCTCCCTTGTGGGGTGCCTCAGAACTCCATCCTCTCCCCCATGCTTTTTAATATCTATATGAAGACGCTGGGAGAGATCATCAGGGGTTTGGATTGGGTGTTCACCAGTATGTGGGTGATACCAAGCTCTTCCTCTCTTTTAAATTGGAACCAGTGAAGGCGGTGAATGCCCTGTGTTGGTGCCTGGAGGTGATTTGAGGATGGGTGGCAGCTAACAGATTGAGGTTGAATCCTGACAAGACAGAAGTACTGTCCCTGGAGGACAGTCAGATGTGGAGGATTCCCTTGTCCTGAATGGGGTAACTGTGGCCCTAAAGGACCAGGGGCACAGCCTGGGGATCATTTTGGACTCACAGCTGTCCATGGAGGCACAGGCCAGTTCTGTGTCCTGGGCAGCTGTCTGCCAGCTCCATCTGGTACTCCGGATGAGACCCTCCCTGCCCTCGGACTGTCTCACCGGAGTGGTGCATGCTCTGGTTAGCTCCAGTTTGGACTACTGCCATGTGTTGTACATGGGGCTACCTTTGAAGGTGACTCAGAAACTGCAACTAATCCAGAATGCGGCAGCTGGACTAGTAACTGGGAGCAGGCGCCGAGACAACATATCACTTGTGCTAAAGGATCTTCCCTGGCTCCCAGCGCATTTCCAAGCACAATTCACACTGTTGGTGCTGACCTTTAAAGTGTCATAGTTGCATTTTTCAGGCATAGAAAAGTATTAATCTAATGTAGAGAGATCAATAATTTCTGGTCTATTGCTTCAAGAAGGTTCTGGTGGTTTTACTCTGTGTGATTCAAAGTGGTGTTTTCTCTAGCTGGAACATTTTAGCTGATAAGGGAGTTTCTTTTCTGCTGAGAGCAGGTGGCGGGATCAATTGTTATGAGGTGTACATTACTCTCATCCTCAATGCACCAGGCAGTGGAAAAGACACTTAAAGATGGAAGCCTGAGAGAGAGGAAAAGGTTTCTGGCTGATTCCTGGGTGGGATTGCGGAAACAAAGAGCCGCTCTGAGAAGACCTCTCCCCTCCTCTCTTCCTCTCCGGATTTGAACCGCTGTGACTGGACAGGGCAGGGGCTTATGGGGTGGGAAGAGGAGGGAGCATGCAGGAAGGAAGGGGAGGGGGGACACGACCCCCCACTTTCCAGGGATCCCTCTGGTTGCCTTGAAGGGGTGGCCGATTGCTGGGAGGGAGGGAGAATCCCCGCAGGCGCCACCATGGAGACGTCTCTCCAAAGACTGGTCTTCCTAGCTCCCCCCCCCCCATGCTGCCCTTTCCTGCCCCAGGAATGCTCCCCTTCCCCACTTCCTCGACTCCCTCCCTCTGTCCCAGAGTCTCCGCTGCACCCAGAGCCCCCCCCTTGGCGCCTTAGGGTTATGTCTCCCGCTGCCAAGGCGCCTAAGGGGCCAGGGAAAGCCCCCTTCGCAGCACACGTGCAGGGATCCAGGCCCTTCCCATGGGGCCCACGAAAGGCGCTTTGGGGAGCTGGCGGGGGTCTCTGGGTCCTTTTCTTCCCCCCCTCCTCCCCCGGGAGCCCTTTACCTCTTTGTCCTCGCTCCCGAGTCTCATTTCTTTCCTGCAACATCCACGGGGGGCGGGGATCCTCCTCTTCCCATCCTCCTCTCCTTTCCGAAAGGCGCCACCCCCGCGAGCTACGCCGCAGAGCAGCAATTCGGAGTAGAAGCTCCACTTGCGGGCGAAGCAGGCAGTTTGGGAGGGGGGTTCTCTCCCCTCATTCCGGAAACAGAAGCCGGATGGAGAGGAGGAGGAGCAGAAGGAAGAGGTGCGACATACTGGGGGGGTTGAGGGTTATGGGGGCGGAGTGAGAGGAGGATGTACCAGGGAGGGAGAAATTGAGGGGGGCGAAGGAGAGGAAGGTTTTCCCCCTCCCTTCTTCCTTCAGGGGATGAGGAGAGCGGGAAAAGGTTGATCCCGTCAATCCATTTGCAAAGCGGGGTCCCCCCCTACAATGTTTGCATTGCAAAATCCCTCCCCCACCCCACGCCATAAGCTTAGATCCATTCCATGTTGTAGGACGGTATTGGTGCACACTGAGTAGCGGGTTAGGCTCTGTGACTCCTGTGTTACGGAAAAAATGGGACTTTGGTTTTTACACGCACAGCCCCGACACCCAGGTAAAATGCATCGCTTCTGTCTCCGTCAGAGGTAACAAAATGAGGCCAGGAATAAAACAAGGCAGTTGTTGATCTGTTTGCGCGCAGAGCCCCCCCCCCCATGCAAGGAGTGAAGCAGCCCAGAAGTAAAGCGCGCTGCAATTTGGACACCCTCAGAAAGTAGCTGCCCCCCGTCACTGAGAGAGCACCCAAAAAACATCCCCGGCTACGTCACAAAATGCGTTGTACACGGAAATCAGATCAGACTCCGAGTTCATGTTTGGGCAGCATTACAAGTCTGTCCGTCGGGATGCCTGAGGATTCCTGCTCCCTGCCTTTTCCCGGCCAGCCTGAGAGATCATTGGAAAGGGTGGATTTCTTGACTCCAAAATCCATCACCGCAGACCCGTTTCATTCAAGCATAGAGATCTGCTCATTGGACAAGTCTGCTTGGATCATGTGGAGCATCAATGGATCATCAATGATGTCATACGCATCTCACGGAGGGGGGGGGCGGCTCAGGAAGAATCTCCTGCCACGTGACTGGGGTCAGACAGGGCTGCTGTTTTGCTCTCCTTCCTATTTCAGCTCAGGTTTTCCTGGCAGAAGTTACATCTCATCAAGAAATGGGTGGATTCATTGAGGAAACGGGGCTACGTTGAAAAGAGGCAAATGTGTCTACTTTGTTACCACCCAGTGAGTTGTGTTGCAAAGGCCACTTGCAGAAAGGCTTCTATTGTATCACCTGCGGCTACATGCCGGAGTTTTGGTGTTTTGTGGAAATGTGTCTCTGTAAATGCGCTTATCCCGTGCATTTATAATGGCAAGACATGAAATCCCATGAGATCCACAAGCACCAAACCCATAAGCCAAAAGCACAGAACGAAGCAGCCCTATCAAAAGCTGGGTGTCTAACAACAACAACAACAACAACAACAACAACAACAACTTTTTTTGTACCCCACCCTTCAGACTGGATTTCTCCAGCCACTCAGGGCACCTTCCAAAAGAATAGAAGAAAACATAACCCAACATGAAATATTAAAAGCTTCTCGATACAGAGCTGCTTTCAGGCGTAGGGCTTTCAAGGTCAGCACCAACACTTTGAATGGTCCTCGGAAACGGACCGGGAGCCAGTGAAGATTTCTTAGGACCCGTGTTCAGAGGCCAGCTGTTAGGGGGCATTTCAGCTGCTGTCCATAACTGAATGTATCCCTTGCCGGAAGTAATCCATAAACCTCTCCTCCTCTGCCTTCTCGGGATGCCATTGGTGCACGATGCTCCGGCTCTCGAGAGAGGGAGAGGCGTGAGTTGGGTGCGCTTGGCTTGCCAAGGGTTAAACGGAAACAAGCTAGATTCCTAGACAGGGAAGTAAGACGGGGGGGGGGCAGGTGCCTCCAGAGCGAAAGCCCAACCCCTCCCTTTCCTGCAGGAAGTCGGGCGTGTGGGGGTCCCGTTGGTTCGGCTCTGCAGAGGCTGCCTGGGGGCGCCTGCTGGGATCCGGTGAGTCTCCTCTCTCCCAACAAAGGGCCCATGGGGAGAGCGGGGGTCCCAGCGCTGCATGGCGAAAGGGGGGCAAGTCAGGGTCGCAGGAGGGCGGCAGGTCTGCTCTTCCTTTGCATGGATGCGCTGCTGGCCCCTTGGGGAGGGGTCTCGGGGAAATGCATGCAGAGAAACCCCATTCAGATGTATGGATCAGTCCCCTTGTATAACAGAGGTTGTAGGCGGATGGAAACATTCGGACATGAAATATACCCTGGTTCCTAAAACCTCACCTGTGAAAGGAGAAGGAAGGAAGGCAGAGAAGAGAAAGCGCTTCCTCTTGCAGGGCAGAGTAAACCTGTGGAACTCCCCCCCACAAGAGGCAGAGGCCACCAATCAAGGTGGCGTTAAAAGAGGAGACCAATCCGTGGAGGAGGAGGAGAGGGAGATGGGTGGCTCCTCTGCTCTGTCTCCCCTATAGGGGGCAGCCCTGTGGCCTGATCCTGCAGGGCTCATTTTCTCCTCCACTGCTTAGTGTTGGGATGCATCCAAGGAATCCGTGTGCGGGGCGATCTCCAGTCCTTGGATCAGTATGAAACTGCGACCCGAGCTTCAGCAGCCTTCAGTAGCTGGGCATGCACACTCAGCAGAGTAAACGCACAACAGAAGTGGCTGGAGAGGCATGTGTGAGCAGATTTACAAGCAGTTTATTCAACATACATCAGGACAAAGGAATCATGTCTGCTCTCCTTCATGTCCAAAGCAAGACAGCATAAGCAAAAGCTATACAGTGGTACCTGTATAGCTTTTGTTCTGTACTTAATTTGTTCTGGAGGTCCGTTCTTAACCTGAAACTGTTCTTAACCTGAAGCACCACTTTAGCTAACGGGGCCTCCTGCCGCTGCGCTGCTGGAGCACAATTTCTGTTCTCATCCTGAAGCAAAGTACTTAACCCGAGGTAATATTTCTGGGTTGGTGGTGTCTGTAACCTGAAGCCTCTGTACCTGAGGTACCACTGTACACAAACAGAAGTTCCCAGCAAGCTGTGCTGGAGTGTAAACAGGCATGTGACACACAACAAAACTCTGAGATTGCTGGGGGTTGGGCTAGATAATCCTTGGGGTGCCATCCACCTCTATAGTTCCATGAAAGCACCACTGGAGGTCTCACAAGCCAAGGCACTGAGAGGAGGAGAGGTCCTGCTGGAATGGAAACAACCAGTGCAACTGTTTTAAAAGAGGAATCCAATGTGTTTGTTGTCGGGGGGGGGGGGGACTCCGTGAGGGGTAGATCCTTGATCTCCTTGGACAAAGAGGCAGGAGTGCAAAGTCCTTCATTAAGAGAGGCAGCCCAGCCAATCATCTGGCTGCTGCATTTTGGGCCAGTTCCCAGAGTCGCCTTCAAGGCAGTTCCACACAGAGCGCCGCGTTGCCACCATCCCATCTGGTGCAGAGAGGACCAGGGCCATGTCTTCTCTATCCCAAAAGGTCTGTGGGTTGGGGAACTAGCCTGAGCTGGACATGGGCCTCAAGCGACAATGATGGATCCAGGAGTGCCCTCAAGTATTCATGACTGGGCAGGGGGCATGTTAAGCAATGTAACACCATCATCATCATCATCATCATTACTGTTAGTTCCCTGCCTGTACAGTGGTACCTCGGGTTACATAAGTTTCAGGTTACGACTCTGCTAACCCAGAAATAGTGCTTCAGGTTTAGAACTTTGCTTCAGGATGAGAACAGAATTTGTGCTCTAGCGGCGCGGCAGCAGCTGGAGGCCCCATTAGCTAAGTGGTGCTTCAGGTTAAGAACAGTTTCAGGTTAAGTACGGACCTCCAGAACGAATTAAGTACTTAACCCGAGGTACCACTGTAATCCAAATCTCCTAGAGCAGATTACAAAATTTTTAAAAACCAGTAAAAACAGTTGAAAACACATCACAGTGGTACTGCAGGTTAAGTACTTAATTCCTTCCGGAAGTCTGTTCTTAACCTGAAACTGTTCTTAACCTAGACACCACTTTAGCTAATGGGGCCTCCCGCTGCCACCGCACGATTTCTGTTCTCATCCTGAAGCAAGGTTCTTAACACGAAGTACTATTTCTGGGTTAGCAGAGTCTGTAACCTGAAGCGTCTGTAACCCAAGGTACCACTGTACTCTCATAGAAAGGCGAGTCCTACTTTATTTGCTTTTAAGTGCACACAGACGCACCCGTCTTGCATGCTTAAGTACAGCAACTCCAGGGCATGAGCGGAGTAGGGGCCACGTGTAGAGCAAGTCCCCCACTGAGGTCAAAAACACACACAGAGGCAGCAGGACTTCTTCAGTAATAGTTTACTGAGCTTTCAAAGCATACAGTTCTCACTGGGTCCCCAGTGAGGCACAAAACTTAGCTCCTGAGAGCAAATCCAGTTTCAGCAGTAAGAAAATACAGCACACAGGATATCTAAGTCAGGCACACAAACCGGCAGAAGGGAGCAAGGGAGGAAAGAGGCTGGAAGGACACAGGGCAATGGATGTGTGTCTTTCGCTTCCTGTCATCTGGGAGAGAAGTCAGCAATTCAGCATCTGCAGGGGCTTCATGAAGCAAAGCTTTCTGCCGGCTGCTTCCAGGCAAATGAGCATCCCAGAAACACACACTGTGATCTGTGGTGTGTTGCCATATCAATTGTTTTTGGAAGGTTATCACGATGTGGTCTAGAAACCAGTATGGGACAATATATCGCCCAGCCCTAATCCTCACTGACCACCAAGCAATCCAGATAAACCCTCACCCCTTCTCTATCGAAAGGTACTTTACATCTTAGATTATAATGACATTGTTTGGCATTGCCTTCAATATTTCATTACTATACAGTTTTACACATAAATACCAGAACTTCACAGACACAACGTGTTAAAGACTGATTTCCTCCTGAGTTCATTTCTGTGAAGAAGAGTGGACACTGAAAGGAAAACGTCCCATTCTCCATACATCTAAATGGGTTCTTACATGTGAGAATCTCTGGATGTTCCTTAAACAATCCATTGTAAATAAAGCACTTTTTGCAATCTTTTTATTTAAACTGCTCCTCCTCTTTGAGTTTGTTGATGGTTTGTAGGATTTCAACTCCTAAAGTTCTTCCTGTCCGTGAGTCTGTTGATTTAGAATTTCCACCAGGACTGAACCTCTATCTACTTTCCTGATATTTATAAGGTTTGTGTTTTGTGTGAGTTTGTTGACATAAATCAAGGGTTCCACTCTGACTGCAGCTCCTACCACACGCCATACATTTAAACAGTTTCTCCCCTGTGTGTCTGCTGATGTTTTCTAAGATTTCCATTCCGACTGAAGCACTTTCCGCACTCCATGCATTTAAATGGTTTCTCCCCCGTGTGAGTCTGTTGATGTCTTCGAAGTTTTCCATTCTCACTGAAGCTCTTTCCGCACTCCATACATTTAAATGGTTTCTCTCCTGTGTGAGTCCATTGATGTATATTGAGGTGTCCACTCTGACGGAAGCTCTTTCCACACTCCATACATTTAAATGGTTTCTCCCCTTTGTGAATCAGTTGATGTTTTCTAAGGCATCCATGATCACTAAAGCTCTTTCCGCACTCCATACATTTATATGGTTTCTCCCCTATGTGAATCCGCCGGTGTAATTTAAGGTCTCCATTCTGACTGAAGCATTTTCCACACTCCAGGCATTTAAATGGTTTATCACCTGTATGAGTGCGTTGATGTCTTCTAAGCTTTCCATTATCAGTAAAGCTCTTTCCGCACTCCATGCATTTAAATGGTTTCTCCCCTGTGTGAATTCGCTGGTGTAATTTAAGGTCTCCATTCTGACTGAAGCACTTTCCACACTCCAGGCATTTAAATGGTTTTCTCCCTGTATGAGTCTGTTGATGTCTTCTAAGGTTTCCATTATCAGTAAAGCACTTTCTGCACTCCATACATTTATATGGTTTCTCCCCTGTATGAGTCCGTTGATGTGTTCTAAGGTTTCCATTGAAACTGAAGCTCTTTCCGCACTTCATACATTTATATGGTTTCTCCCCTGTGTGAATCCGTTGATGTTTATTGAGGTATCCACTCTGAGTGAAGCTCTTTCCGCACTCCATACATTTATATGGTTTCTCCCCTGTGTGAATCCGCTGGTGTAATTTAAGCTCTCCATTCTGACAGAAACCTTTTCCACACTCCATACATTTAAATGGTTTCTCCCCTGTGTGAGTCCGTTGATGTTTTCTAAGGTCTCCATTCTGACTGAAGCTCTTTCCACAATCCAGACATTTATATGGTTTCTCCCCTGTGTGAATCCGTTGATGTGTTCTAAGGGGTCCATTGTCACTAAAGCTCTTTCCGCACTCCTGGCATTTAAATGGTTTCTCCCCTGTGTGAATCCGTTTATGTGTTCTAAGGTTTCCATTATCAGTAAAGCTCTTACCACACTCTATACATTTATGTGGTTTCTCCCCTGTGTGAGTCCATTGATGTGTTCTAAGGTTTCCATTGAAACTGAAGCTCTTTCCACACTCCATACATTTATATGGTTTCTCCCCTGTGTGAGTCCGCTGATGTAAACTTAAGTGTCCATTCTGACTGAAGCTTTTTCCACAATCCATGCATTTAAATGGTTTCTCCCCCGTGTGAGTCCATTGATGTCTTCTAAGTGTATCACTCCGATAGAAGCTCTTTCCACACTCCAGACATTTAAAAGGTTTTTCCCCTGTGTGAATCCGTTGATGTAAACTTAAGTGCCCATGTTGACTGAAGTTCTTTCCACACTCCCTGCATTGGAATCCTTTCTTGCCCATGTGAGTCTGCTGATTTGTTCTAAGTTTTCCACTATCAGTGAAACTTTTCCCACACTCCATACCTTTAAATGGTTTCTCCCCTGTTGGAGTTTGTTGATGTGAACTATGTTTCCTCATTCAATGAAGCATATTCCGCATTTCACACATTTTAATTTCTATTCCTAGTGGGGGGGAAAGGTGACCCATCCCCTGGAGTTCTGACTGTCTTCTCCATCTCCTTCTTCAGAGTGGGAGGAAAGGGAATCCTGTTTTGGTTTCCAGGAAGAGAGCTAAGGGAAAGAGAACACATCAAGCTCCATTAGCACCTTCTCCTATTTCAATGTCTACTACATTCCTTTACCTCCTTCCCATGTTCCCAGCTTTTAGGAAGTGAAGTTGCAATGTCAAATGATAGTAATTCAAGAGCAACTTTCAAAATCCTCAATCAATGTTCATAAAGCAGCTTGATTCTTTAAAGAATGATGTGCTGTCTGATCTCGTGCCCGTCTTCTGACGCAGGACTATCCAGAAAAGACACTGAAAAGCAGGATATTCAAGGCAGATAGATAAACTGTGCTTAGTGGAATGTGTAGTATATTGAAAATGTAGTATTGATTCTCTAGTGGCCTGAAGTTGTGTTATTTCTGGGGACATGAATTAATTCCTGTTCTGTCTTAAAGATCATAATCATACAATATCATGTGGTGCTAGGGGAGCGGTAGTACCTCTGGTGGGGGAAATGTCATGCACCTTATGGGGTAATTTATCCAGTATTAGCCCCCACCCAGCACTCAGTTCTCACCTGTGGCTTCCAGAAGCTGTCAGAATGCAACAGAGGCCATAATCCAAGGAATGGCTTCAATCAGCCGGCTAAACCAGGTGAGGATAGCTGATGGGTCTCAAATCCTTGGTGTATTAGGGAATTCTGTTGCAGGTGAAGGCAGGCCCTGGTGGATGGAGAGGATGAGAACAACAGTGAATCAAGAAGGCAGATTCTGCCCATTCTGCAGAGGAAAATGAAGGGCAGATGGGGCTCATCAACCTAGGAAGGGAGCTCCTCAAGAAGGAAAACTTTGGTCGTAATACTTTGGTGCACTCCTTCGCTTCCTCGTGAGTTATATTCAGGAGAAGGCTATGGAGGAAAACTCACACAAATCCAGAGTGGAGTCTCTAAGACGGTTAGATGGTGTCCTGCACACCACCTTCCAGCCACTCCTGCAGCCAAGCTGGTGTCTAATGTACTGCCCTGCTTTCCTTGGGACCATATAAGCCAGGCTGAGAAGGGGGTCTTGTTGTCTAGGCAGCCCAGGACCCCCAAACACACTGCCCAGGCTTGTTGTGCTGCTAACACATCAGTTTCAGGGGGAGCGATGAACTCAGATCTGTGTATCAGAATCTCTCCAATGTGGAATATGTAAAACAGAAGTGCTGTTTATATCATACATCAATTAAAAGGTAATCAGAATATTTGTCTTTTGAATAAAAGGCCACCAAGTATCCGATGGCCCCTTCAAAGCTAATTAAATTCTTGGGCCTGGAGCTTTTGGGGGTGCAGGACTAGGAATGCCTCTGCCACCATTAACCTTCCAATTGGGATTCAGGCTTCATCATGGAAGTGAAATTGCCCTGGTTGTGCTGTTTCCTGGTTCTGCTGGATCTCTCAGCAGTTTTGGAGACCTGTGACCTTGGTATCCTTCTGGACCCCCTAGGGGAGCTGGGGGCCCTGCTGTGCAGTGGTTCCCCTCCTTCCTCCTGGGCCATGTCCAGAAAGTGGTGTTGGGGGATGAGTGTTCAGACCCCTGGGCTCTCATTTGTGGGGTGCCTCAGGGCTCTGCCCTCTCCCCCATGCTTTTTAATATCTATATGAAGCTGCTGGGAGAGATCATCGGGGCTTTTGCCTGGGTTTTCACCAGTATGTGGATGATACCCAGCTCTTCTTCTCATTTAAATCGGAATCAGTGAAGGTGGTGAATGCCCTGTGTTGGTGCCTGGAGGTGGTTTGAAGATGGATGGTGGCTAACAGATTGAGCTTGAATCCTGACAAGACAGAAGTACTGTCCCTGGGGAACAAGGGGTGGGCAGGTGTGGGGGACCCCCTGGTACTGATGGGGTAACTGTGCCCCTATATAACCAGGTGCGCAGCCTAGGTGTCATTTTGGACTCACAGCTGACCAAGGAGGTGCAGGTCAATTCTGTGTCCAGGGCAGCTGTCTAGCATCTCCATCTGGAATGCAGGCTGAGACCCTCCTTCCCTGCAGACTGTCTCGCCAGAGTGGTGCATGCTCTGGTTATTTCCGGCTTGGGCTACTGCTATGTGGTCTACATGGGACTACCTTTGAAGGTGACCCAGAAACTGAAACTGAATGGGAGCAGCTACCGAGACCACACATCACTGCTCTTAAAGGATCTTACCTGGCTCCCAGCACATTTCCAAGCACAATTCAAACTGTTGGTGCTGACCTTTAAAGTGTCATGGTTGCATTTTTCAGGCAAAGAAAAGTGTTGATCTAATGCAGGCTTCCTGAAACTTGGCAGTTTCCTTTCTGCTGAGAGCTGGTGGTGGGATAAGTTGCGATGAGGTTATGAAGAACCTTTCTTGTTTTGGGGAACCAGATGAAGCTGGTTTAAACTGGAGTGAGCCAGGCTTGTTATCCAGTCCCAAGGTTACTCTGACGTTTAATAGAATATAAATTACAAGGCCGAAAGGCGCCTGGTCCCACTTCCTAGTCTGCTATTTCTCTACTCCGCTTGTGTGATTCTTAGTTGAGTGCTGTTTTGGTATGTTAAATTAGGGTTTTATGTAAATTAAGTTTTTGCTATATTTTGAATCCTATTATGCTTCTTTGCCTTCAGTAATAAATTTATTTGCTGAATGAGATCGTTGTGGAACAGCAAGATCTGCAACCTAAAGCCCTCAACAGCCTCGGCCCTGTAGACCTGAAGGAGCATCTGAAGGATGTAGATGCTGAAGGAGCATCAGTCTGGACAGGGAGGTCCTCTTTCGAAGGTCTTCTGCTGATTCCCCTCCTGGGAGAAGCAAAGTTACAGGGAAGCAGGCAGAGGGCGAGGAAATGGGCAACATTCTGACATTTAGAAGACAGCTGAAGGCAGCCCTGTTTCGGGAGGTTTTTAATGTCTGATGTTTTACTGTCTTTTATTTGTACTGGAACCAGGCAGTGGAAGAGAAACATAAAGATGGAGGCCTGAGAGAGAGGAAAAGGTTTCTGGCTGCTTCCTGGGTGGGATTGTGGAAACGAAGAGCTGCTTCTGAGAAGGCCTCCCCCCTCCCCTCTTCCTGGACAGGGCAGGGGCTTATGGGGGCTCATGGGGTGGGAAGAGGATGGAGCTTGCAGGAAAGAAGGGGTGGGGGGACACGACCCCTCACTTTCCAGGGATCCCTCTCTGGTCACCTTGAAGGGGTGGCCGATTCTTGGGCGGGAGGGAGAAGCCAAGGTGGCCCCTCCAGAGAATCCCCGCAGGTGCCACCATGGAGAAGTCTCCCCAAAGACTTTTCTACCTATCTCTCCCCCCATCATTGCTGCCCTTCCCTGCCCCAGGGATGCTCCCCCTCCCCACTTCCTCGACTCCCTCCCTCTGTCCCAGAGGCCCACCTTGGCGCGGCTCACTTCTCATCCCCCATCTTTCCATCCTGAGGGGCCACCCCAAGACGCACAGATTAGGGACAGGGGGGGTCTCTATCCAGGCGTCCCTCACGCCCGTTAACCCTTTCATGGCCCGCCTTTATCCGTGCGGAGCCCACAGGGCCCCAGGGATGCCTACGCGGGGGAAACGGGGCAAGGGGGCCCACGTGGGGACCCCCTGCGTAGGTTCCCCATGTCCGCCGCTGCCAAGGCGCCTAAGGGGCCAAGGAAAGCCCCCTTCGCAGCACGCGCGCAGGGATCCAGACCCCACGGAAGGCGCTTGGGGGAGCTGGCGGGGGTCTCTGGGTCCTTCCCCCCCCTCTCCGCCGCCCGCGACCCCTTTACCTCTTTGTCCTCGCTCCCGAGTCTCATTTCTTTCCTGCAACATCCACGGGGGGCGGGGATCCTCCTCTTCCCATCCTCCTTCCCTTTCCGAAAGGGCGCGCCCCTAGAGCTAAGCTGCAGAGGAGCAATCCGACGTAGAAGCTCCACTTGCGGGAGAAGCAGGCAGGTTGGGAGGGGGGCTCTCTCCGCTCATTCCGGAAACAGAAGCCGGATGGCGGGGAGGAGGAGGAGGTGGAGGGATCTGGGGTTGTGGGGGCGGGGTGAGAGGAGGATGTACCGGGAAGGGAGGAATCGAGGGGGACGAAGGAGAGGAAGGTTTCCCCCCTCCCTTCTTCCTTCTGGGGATGAGGAGAGCGGGGCAGGGGCTGATCCCGGCAATTCAGCTGCAAAGTGGGGTCCCCCCCCTACAATGTTTACATTGCAAAATCCTTCCCTCCCCCCGCCACCCACGCCATGAGCTTAGATCCATTCCATGTTTTAGGTATTGGTGCACATTGAGCAGCGGGTTGGGCTCTGTGACTCCTGTGTTACGGAAAAAATGGGGCTTGGGCTTTTGCACACAGAGAGAGAGACACACACCCGACACCCAGGTAAAATTCTTCCCTTGTGTCTCCGTCAGAGGCAACACAATGAGTCCAGGAAGAAAGCAAGGCCAGCTGTTGATCTGTTTGCGCGCGGAGGCCCCCCCCCCCGCCCCATGCAAGGAGTGAAGCAGCCCAGAACTAAAGCGCATTGCAATTTATACAATTTATACGCCCCCCGTCACAGAGAGAGCACCCCAAAAACATCTCCGTTTGCGCCACAAAATGCGTTGTACATGGAAATCAGATCACACTCCGAGTTCATGTTTGGGCAACATTACAAGTCTGTCTGTCCATCGGGATGCCTGACGATTCCTGCTCCCTGCCTTTTCCCGGCCAGCCTGAGAGATCATTGGAAAGGGTGGATTTCTTGACTCCAGAATCCATCATCGCAGACCCGTTTCATTCAGGCATAGAGATCTGCTCTTTGGACCAGCCTGCTTGGACCATGTGGATCATATGGATCATCACTGGGTCATCCATGATGTCATACCCACCTCACGGAGGGGTGGGGGCTCAGGAAGAATCTCCTGCCGCGTGACTGGGGGAGCCTGGAGGCTGACTGGGGTCAGACAGGGCTGCTGTTTTGCTCTCCGTACTATTTCAGCTCAGGTTTTCCTGGCAGAAGTTACATTTCATCCAGAAATGGGTGGATTCATTGAGGAAACGGGGCTAAGCGGAAGCATCCGTTGTAGAGAGGCCAATGTGTATACTTTGTTACCACTGTAGCAGGAACCCCCCCACCCCAATCATTCTGCTTGTACAAACTTCACACACACTCACACACTACATACGCCACATTTCTGTTATAAATTCATAGAAAATCAACCATACATTGGATTTGCACTGTTCCATTTTTATTTTACTCCATATGACAAGAACTAACAAAAGGGGAGGGGGGTTTGACCCTGGTCAGCCAAAATCCCTTCACTGTCTCAGCACATCTGCAGGAGCCCTGCCCAGATGATCCCAGACAGAAGACAATCAAGACCACAAAGAACTTGCATATGGGAGTGGATTCAGCATGGACTGAAACAAAGGACAATGATCAGATCTTCCCTCAGGGGGCAGGAAACTGCAAACTCCCCTTTGTCTCCTGGAAGTGACTCATGGGGAGGGGGAAGAGGAGGAACCAGCCAGGTGACAAGATACTCAGGTTACCACCAACTCCTCCCTCAACCCCTCCTTTCTGTAATATATGCATGATGTTTCTGGGGGTGGGCTTGACCTAGAGGAGGGGAATTTCAAAAGTTTTTATAAGACCTTGCACACTATTTTTCTGGGTCTTTCCTCTCTCCTGCAAGTGAGGGGAACACCCTGATGCATCAGTTCAATAAAGGCCAAGCCTACAGGCTGCTGTTTTGCTCCAAGTTATCCTGG